TCGAAGTGATCTTCCTGCCTCAGCCTCCCATGTGCTGGGATTACAGGTGTGCGCCACCACACCCAGCTTTGCTTTGAATTTTTAGAGAACTCATTGTTTCCTTCCGAGCAGGGGAAAGGACCCCTTTCTGTTCTCTTCAGCTCATCCCCAATCAATGAGAGAGAACCTGCTCGTGCTACATATGTCACTCACTACTACTAGTTGGTTATACCCAAGTGAGTGTTCATTGTGTTTCTTAGCCAGCTGTGTTGTTAGACCTGCTTCTGATTTTAACAGCAAACTGATGATGCCTACAAAGGGCCAGTGTTCCAAGCATTTTGTATATGTAACTCATTCATCTTCAAACAACTCCATGACATAAGAACCGTTATTGTGCTCATTTTGCAGCTGAGCAAACTGATGCCCAGAGAAATAACCTGCCAAGGACCACACGCATCTAGTGAGCTGCAGTAACCTTGGCAGTCAGCCTCAGAGTCAAAATGCTGCACTAGTTCTCACAATGCGGTCAGCACACTTACAGAGAACAGCATTAAGGAAAAAGACCCGAAGTCGCTCCTGCCGCTGTTGTGAGGCTCATGTCAGTGATCAAGGTAACCCAGGCTACCTGGGCAGGAGCATTAGGAGAGTGTTACTCCCTGTCCCAAGAGGTAACTTCTCTTCACCCCTGGGAAAAGCAGTCCTCTCTGTTACTGTTCATCAAGTTAGACTTCAGAGATATTTGCTGAGCTTCTAAAAATGCAGAAGAAATAGAGGCAATAATTCTCCCCCGTAAGGCCCTCGTAGGAAAGTCTGTCCAACTGTCCTTCCTTCTTCCTTTCCTGCCACTCTCATTCTCTCTTCTTCCTTCCTTACTCCTCTCTCTCTCATGAAACTCTAATGTGCCAACTACTATGGTACAGATGACATAGGATACTGTGGGAATAACATATGCACCCCTGCCCATCTTGAGGACAAGCTCAGAGAACACAGTCCAGGTTTCACCTAAACCAAATCTTTGAGCACCTTATCAAAGGTGTGAAAAAGCCAGGTGTGGTGGCGCATGCCTGTAATCCCAGCACTCCGGAGGCTGAGGCAGGAGGATCGCTGTGAGTTCGAGACCAGTCTGGGCTACATAGTGAGTTCCAGGTCAGTATTAACTACATATGAGACCCTGTCTCAAAAACAACAACAATAACAACAAAACAAAAAGTGTGAAAAAGAGAGTATGCCTACAGAAGGAACAGAATGTACAGAGAGAGCTTTAAAGGCAAAAGTAGGGCCAGGGATTTAGCTCAGTGGTGCCACTGGCTGCCTTGAAAGTGCAAGGTCCCAAGTTCCATCCCTGGTACCAAAATTTAAAAAGAGCCATCATACAAAAGTAGGATTTTTACCCTAGCAGCAGTGAGGAACCACTGAATAATTTTATGAAAGCGAGTAACAGGACTGAACTGTGGTTCTAAAGCACTACGCTGATGGGACACAGTAAACAAGATTTTGGGGTCCAGAATTCGAGTTATTTTGCCATTTAGTTGGGCAAACTTGAACGCGTTACCAAAGCACATGCCACTTACTCCCTCCAAGCATCAACTCCTCAAATGCAAACCTAAAATGATAATAGCATTTAATTCATAGGGTTCATGAGAATTAAGCCGGATGATCCGTGCACTTAGCAAAGAATTTGCTAAGTACTGAGTAGATGGAAATTATTTATCACTAGCAGTGGCACTGTGGGTGGATTAAGAGGGACAAAGGGGGAAGCCTGGAAGCTAGCAAGAGGCTTAGTTTAGTAATCAAAGAGAAAATCAAAACCTAAAGGACCTGTTGCGGACAGGTGGAGAGAGCAATGGGCTCAAGGCTGAACGTGATGATGGGACTGAGGGACAGTGCTGTATGGGAGTAGGGGCCGGGCGCTGGACCCAAGGTGGCCATGTGCACCAGGAGAGGCCGGACACCCTGGGCATCTCAGAGGCACCTTTTGCCCTCTGGCTCCCTCGTCAGTATTTCCAAAGCTGTGATCTCAACGCTTTGCTCTTCTGTTTTCTCGTGGCTGGGCTTCCCTACTCCCAAGACATTAATTAGTTCTCACCTGTCTACAGAGGGCTTCCGGATCGCTATTTCTGAGCTTTCCACAGCTTATCGGTACACTGGAACATCCCAAGGGGCCACTGATTCGGTGTGATTAAAACCACTTTCCTGACAATCTACCTAACCTTACACAGATGGGTTTTTAAAACAAAATCCAAAGCCTTTCCCCAGACCTCCTCTCACTAGCTCTTCCTTCCCTTTCCATGACTACATAATTATGCTCCCTCTCCCTCCACCAACTCATCCCACTGCAACAGCCTGCATCTCCTCGTGAGTCCTACTTTCACGACGTTTCTGTCCCTACCCCACCCGAAAGCACACCTTACTCCTGTCATCCCTGACTGGTGAGGCAAAGGCCTCGGCCTCTTCCACTTCCAGCATCCCCTCTAAACCTGCCCCCGCTGCAGGCCCTCTCCCTCCGCAGAGACCTGACTCAGGGAGGGTTGTGCTTTCTGTGCCTTTTCAGCTTCCCTTCTCTCTCCAAAATGGGTTCATTGGTAAATCTACCAATGTGTGGAATGTTTTTTTAATGGAGGGAAAAAAAGGACACTCATAGAAACTTTTTGACTCTCTTTTCAAACTATTTGCTGTCTTTCTACTACCAAGCTTATTTTTGGCCACATCTTCAACACTGAATTTGTTTTTTCCGTACTGAAGATTGAACCTAGGGCCTTGTGCATTTTAAGCAAAAACTCTTCCTGTGAGCTACATCCCCAGCCCTCACCACGGAATTCTTTACCATGTTCATGTTCAATACTTGCAAATGCAGTTTCCTCCCAAAACTGCCTCCCCGAATCACCAGGGACCTCATAGGTCACATTTTATCCTTCCCACAGCTGCGTACACATCACTTAAGAGAGGACACCACTGCTCCTTAGAGCTTTTCTCCAGCGGTCTTCCTTGATTGCCTTTAATATGGGTTACATGTGCCTTCACTTCCTGTAAATGAGTACTCACATCTCTTAGCGTGCTGTAACACTTAAGCATAGGTACCATGTTGCCTTAATCAATGTATTCTCACCAGCTGGCACTGTGACCGCTTTACAGATACAGCCGAATACACACACGAACACTGCCATCCAATCAACACCTAAGAATCCACCTGGGGGTGGACGCGTCTGTAAAAATAAGATCGACAGGTGACATTCTAAGGGAACAGCAAATAAAGTAGGAGGAGACACCATGGATAATCAAAAGGTAGCATAATGAATTAGTTTATGTAGTCACTCATTTATTCTTTTGATAGTTATTATGGCCACAGCAACTACAAACATAATTAAGACAGAGTAGTTGTCCTCCTGGCTCTGTCTTGTAATCGAGACCCAAGGGCTTAGGGTGGTATGAATTCGTAAAAAGCAAGGGTAAGAGACTAGGTCACTAAGCAGTAATTCTGAATTTAAGGTTACAGTATCAGGACAAGTACAGAAAACTACAGATAGCTGCCTCTGGCTCACTCATTTTTGCAACCTAGGTCTATCTGCAGCAGTTTTCAGCCTTTAGTGTGTACAGAAAACCTGGGAATCTGGTTAAAAATCCGGAGAAATTTCCTGGAAATCCTGATCCTATGGATCCAGGAATGTACATTTTAGTATCACAGGTGATTAGGCTGCTTTTGGTCTCACTGACACTGTCCTCACATCTTAAATTTTAAGAAGCTGGGGTTACAGCTCATAGCTCAGTGGCAGAGCATTTGCCTAGAATGCACAGGCCCTGGTTTCAATCCCCTGCACTGCCAAAACACATTATGCAAAAAGGTCTTGGGTGGTAAGGTTCTATAGAATTGTCCTTCAGAAAAGCTCACACAGATGACCTGGGACCCTCTGTGAATTATGTCTTTTAGATGAATATGTTGTTATAAAATGACATGATAAAACCCTTTCTGTGAAATAAATATATTGGTGCTTATATTTCATTTTGTTTGTTTTTTTGGCAGCACTTAGGAGTCAATCCAGGGCCTTATGCATGCTAGGCAAAGGCTCTACCACCAAGCTGCACTCTAAAGCTTTATAAAATTCTGAGACAGGGTCTCACTAGTTTACACAAGCTGGCCTTGAACTTGTGACCCTCCTGCCTCAGCCTCCTGAGTGGGTGAGATTACAGATGGGCCAGTATGTCTGGCTATAATATTGACTTCTTCTTAGAGAGTGCCTTTTCTCCCCTGCTATTTATTCAGAATATTCTTGAGCTGATACCTGAGTCAATTCCTAAGAGCTAAAGCACTATACTTAAAAGCAGAAGCTGGACCAAAATAAATGTTTGTGCTCCTGACCTAAAGTAAAACGCTCATCGATTTTTTAAGAATTATATTTGATTAAGATTGATAAGTTCAAAGTTATAAATCTAGCTGTTTTCCTTCAACCACTAAGTAATATAAAATAATTAGACAAAGTAAGCCAGCAAAAAATCTCAGGAGAGAACTTGTATCTCAGGTCTATCCCTTAATGGCTTTGGCAATTCATAATCACAAACAAATGTTTTACGAAATGAAAGGCTGTGCTGTTCTGAGCCCTTGAAAGCAGTATTTTGCTCTAAATTATGTTTTTCCTTAAATGGCTAATAAACTACCAAAAAAAAAAAAAAAAGATAAAGACCAAAATTTTTACCTAGTCCCATGCATGTCTTTGGGTATTATATTTTAGAATATAACAAGCGAGTTCTGTACAGTGGCACTTTGGTTCACAAACTTAACTCGTTCCATAAATCTGGTCACAAACTTAATCAAACTTTCCCATAAGGCTCAACGTAAAGAAGATTAATCTGTTCTGAACCATACATTTTTTAGCCACAAAATTATGAAACAAGTACAGGTACAGTATATTTTTTTGTTTTTTGGTACCAGGGATTGAACTCCAGACCTTGTGCTTGCAGGCAGGTGGCAGAACCACTGAGAGAAATCCCCGTACCAGTGTGGTACAATAGCGAGAGAGAACCCTAACCTTGCCTGAGGCGACTTCCAGCACGGAGGACAGGAAGGACAGTGGCGATCTCCTTCAGGGCTCTCCTCTCCTTTTGTCTCTCAGCGGCAGGGTTCATTTTGACAAAAATCCTGTCTAATGTTGCCTTTTTCCTTCACTGCATAACCCTCCCGAAATGAGACCATGTTATCCCTCACCGGATTCAGCACTGTTCGTTAGTTATGTTGGAGTGGTGCTTCTAAAGAAATCCAGGCACTCGGTCCAGTTTTCTGTGATGGATTTTATCACATCACTGCTAACTCCTCCATCCTTCTTTTCATCAGTGGAACACTAAGGTTCAGCAAGTTCTCTTGTCAGCTCCTCCTTAGGATCCTCAACAAGCCCCTCTTGTCTGCAGCCCATGGCACTGTCTCCCCCACTGCCTGTGCCTCAGACCCCTCAGTCACGCTGAGGAACACATTCTGCCCAGGTGCTGCAGGCTGTGTCTAAGATACTGCACGCGTGGGCCGATGCAGTAGAGGGCATTGAAATATTTCTTCCAGAGCCTTTTCAGAGTCAAGGTCATCTCTTCAGTGGAGAGATGCTTTTGCGTACAGCTTCCTGTATACAAAGGTGAAGAGTGCCTTTGTGCACAACTTCTTGAAGGTATAGATCATTTGCTGATCCACAAGCAGCAGAAGAGGTGTCATGCTGGAGAGGAACCTGACTCAGCGTCCATCTCATCCACCAAGGCTGAAGGTGTGCTGGGGCACTGTCAGCAGAAGAAGGCGCCTTTCAGGCAGTTAACTGTGGACGCAAACACCCCATGCAGCTGTTCCATGAACAACAGCCTTGTGACCCTAGCTTTTGCAAAGTCTTCCACATGACAGGCAGCCTGGCCTTGTTCACATTCTGTTCCTCGAATGCCAAGGGATCTCAGAAGGGTACACCAGTAATCGCTCACTCTTCACATCAGCACTTGCATTCACACACAGCAGAAGGGTCGATCTGTGTAGGGGACCACGATATTGATGATGCCCAAGCTGGCTATAAGCAGTGCAGGCTGTGAAGAGTGAACCCCACAGTTTCTTGTTTATAGAAGTGAATCTGGCCAAAGCCTACGTGCTGAGGTCAGAGTAACTCAGACCCAAATTCTGTTCCCACAACTAAAACCTCCCAACTAGAAGGACGGTGCTCTAATCACAACTACATATTTTGTCTAATCTGTTCCTAATTCAAGAATGCTTTGTCTTGTCCTTTACGAGCCTTGTTTACATTAATTTGCATAGAAACCTCACGGCTGCACATCCTGGCACATAGCTCTGCCCTTGCATATAGCTCACCTTTAACCCAATTGATTACCAGTAAAAATCAGGGGCTAGGACTGGCCAGGGCCGCTGACGGTTGCACTGGTATTGGTCATCCTGGCGCCCTGATTTCTGACTCTCTTAGTTTTTTTGTCTGTTAGGCTTTTTTCCTCAGGCCCATTGGTACACTGAGTAGGAGACCAGAGCCTCCTGCAGAGGTCTCCAGTAACGTTTCTGGGTCATTCAAGGGCTTGTGCCCCAGCAGTGCCTCTTCCTCTTGCATGATATAGGTTCTGCTTGGCATCTTCTTCCAGAAGAGCCCTGTTTCATTCACTACAACTGAACACTTGTTGAGCGATATATCCTTCTGCTTTCAGGAATTCCGTGAGTTCTTTCCTTAGGCTTCTACATAAGAAGGGAACTGGAAGCCTCACCATGCCGTATCACACTGTGGATACCACTTCTCTTGTGCAATTTATCAAACCAACCTCTTCTGGCCTTATATTCATCACTTGTTGCACTTGTAGAGGGATTTTTGTTTTGTTTTGTTTTGTTTTTGGTAGTAAATGACTGCCGTTTCCTGGCTTTTTCAGGGATCACAGCTTCACTAATGCTATCACCTGCCAGCAGTTTCTCATTTAACCACAGTAACAAAGCTTCTCCACCTCTTCAGCACTGTGTCCCCCACTTGCAAAGATCATTACGGACATCTTCATTCTCCCAAACAGTTGAGACTGTCAACTTTGCCATCTTAAACTCCAAGGCCAAATCAGTCACATGAACACCACGTTCACGCTTTTCTACAATTTCCTTCTTCAAGTCAATGGTTATTTTCTTGAAATCCTTACCATTCTTGTTCTGCCCCTTCTGGTTACCGTCATTATCACTCTGCACTTGTTCGTAGCACCACGCACGGTCTGCACTTTCTTTGGATCCAGGCTGGACTGAATATTACTTTTCAGTACTGTACTTTTTAGCAGTAAAAGGGCACACAAAAGAGCTTCACAGTAGTGTGCACAGGTCCATCTGCAACTGCAATCTCAAACAGGGGAAGCCACGACCGCATGTTAGGCTGTCCTGCTGGTGTGGGGAAGATGGTTAGTCATGTGTGTTACCCAATGTGGAGATCGTGAAAAGAAGCACAATTCTGTCGACCATTTCTGTTTGTGAACTGTGAACCAGAACTGTTCATGAACAGAAGCATTCGTGAACCGAGGCATTACCGCGTATATTTAATCAGTAGTGACTGAACAAAAAGTATTCATGCAGCCAGCTGCTGGGACACACACCTGTAATCCCGGCACTCTGGGAGGCTGACGCAGGAGGATTGAAAATTTGAGCCCAATATGGGACGTTCAGTGAGACCGTGTCTCAAAATTTAAAAATAAAATGAAGCAAGAAATGACATAGTCACGGATCTCTACATCATTTAAATGGAAACGGCCTTACTACTTACTGACACATAGGGCACAAAAGGATCATTTCAACAGTCCTCCTGCTTCAGCCCTTGTCCTCCCGAGCAGCCAGAAAAGCCCATTTAGAACGTCAGAGCAACCGCTCTTCGGCAAAACTGTCCCGTCCCTGCGCAGACGAGCCAGCCTGGATCCAGCGGCCACAGAGGGCTGGGGACGCGCACTCTTCCCCCGCTGGCCGTGCTGCGCTTGAACGCTGGGCACGCTTCAGACCCAGGGCCTTTGCACGCGCGGCTCCTCGCGCCCAGAGCGCAGGGCTGTCCCGCGGGCCTCCCTGTGCATCACTTCCTTGGCAGGCCGGCGCTGGCAGCCTCCACAGCATCCACCTCCCGCCGT